TTCGGCTCTTGAATCGTGTGCAACCGCAAAAAAAAACAAAAGACAAAAACATGAACAAGAAAACATCTAAAAGTGACTATGTGACTAAGTGCAAACATAAAATCCAGGGGAAAAAAACAGCTAAATATTCCAGAAAACTCACCGTACACCAACGCTGTGTGCAACAATCCCAGTGGGATGCAAGTCAAGCAACTATTCTCCATGGCTTGTCGCCGCTCCTGCCTACCCCTTAACATCTCGTTCTCTGCTCCAGCGACCCGAAGACAAATCCTCTGTTCAATTGGAGGTCGCTCCTTCTCTCCATCTTCCCCCCCAGCCAGTCATCCAGGCTGCCGACTCCATGCCCCTATTCAAGTATTTGGTCAAGATGTTTATCTTCTGCCTAAGACTACTACCTCTAATTTAAAAATGTATAATAATAGATAAATGGTTTCTTGCAATGACCATGTCCCACTTTTTAAACACCGTCTCGAGATACGGCTGCGCTTACATATAAATCCACATCGTATTACAGAATATCTGGCATGTAAAGTAGCTGAAACGTTTCTCTCCTAACTCACCCACGGCACACACACATGTGCGATTCATCTACAATGGGAATATATCTCGCATTTGGCAGCACGCATATTCCTTTTGATATCATAGACTGGAAATCATTTCAAAGTTTTGATTGAAATCATGCAGACCTGGGCAAACCGAGTGCTGGATACATGGCACCAAATGAGAACAATTTCCCCAGGAGATGGATGTCAGTGCCAATGTTGTTCAGGTAAGATTCTGGATGCCATTTTAAGCGTGATCGAAACGTTGTGAGTTTTTTTTTTATTACCGAAAGAACCAAGAATAAGTCTACATTATCGACTGCCAGTACGCTCACTCAGTTTAATAACCATTGCTACAGTCTACATTATAGACTGCCAATACACTCACCGAGGTTAAGAACCAGGCTACAGTCTACATTATAGACTACCAGTACGCTCACTCATGTTAAGAACCAGGCTACAGTCTACATTATCGACTGCCAGTACGCTCACTCAGTTTAATAACCATTGCTACAGTCTACATTATAGACTGCCAATACACTCACCGAGGTTAAGAACCAGGCTACAGTCTACATTATAGACTACCAGTACACTCACCCAGCTTAATTACCATGCTACAGTCGACATTATAGACTGCCAATACGCTCACCAAGCTTAAAAAACAGGCTACAGTCTACATTATAGACTGCCAGTACGCTCACCGAGGCTCAGAACCAGGCTACAGTCTACATTATAGACTGCCAGTACACTCACTCCGATTAAGAACCAGGCTACAGTCTACATTAGTGTTTTTTATTATTATTTTCATTTTATTTGTATTCACTTTATTTTTATTATTTTTCTATGTACGTGACTTTACCAAAATAACCAAAGAATGTTACTTCTGAGAACAAATCCAATATCGGATAGCGTTAAGAAAAATACACGCGTGTGCATTAGTATTATACAGCGTGCTTCAATGTTAACACTTACACGGGACTATAGTTTCTAATGGAAAAAGAACGGATAATACACTGTAACATAACAACAAATGTATGTTAATAGCTTCACAAAGTCAAAAAGTCTCCGCTTGTTCGCCATCATTGTCAACACATGCCTGGAATCTTCTCCAGAGCCCTGAGGCACATTTCTTGCGGTATTATTGCAAATTATCGGAAGTGTTAACATTATTTTGAAGCACCCTGTGTGTGTGTATATTTATCGTTTGTCGCAGAGTTTTTTTCGCTGCATTAGACATGAACGTTAACGCGACCAGATCATGACCATCCACTGCTAGATGAGATCTTTCGGACCCCTTATTAGACCATAATTAACCATCATTTACCATAATTCACCATAATTCACCGACCATAACACACGTGGTCGCCCATCCAAGCAATACCCAGGATCAAGCCTGCTCAGCGTGATTGAGTCGTATTGCACTCTCACTTGAATATTGTAGACCAAGAATGTAGAATCTACATCCCCTTGCCAGCCCCACACCTGGATGAGGGGCTACCCCGCACCGAACCGGCTATTTGACCATACTTCACTACGCTAGTCAGTTCGGGTTGAAGAAGGGGGTGGGAGTGGAAGCCAGGAACCGGTTCAGATGTCACTCGCCCACTTATGGGTCGCCGTGACCGGGAACAGAATCCAGCTGTCCGAACCTCGTAAATTGCAGGCGCGCTAATCACTTCGCCACCGCTCACTCGAAATACAATTCATGAGTAACGCGCTTTCACCATCGACTTTCTTTACTAACACAATTCAATGCATTTCAATCGAATAACCAGTCCATCATTCGGCGAACAAAGACACGACAATGATCCTCCGTGTAGCCTTCACAGAGTTTTGGGGAAAGCGCTGTTGGCGAGTAGCGCCTCTGAAGCCCGGCACGACACACGAGGGTGTGAGTGGCCAGCATCACGCCCCGGCCGCCTTTGTCTCCCTAGTTGGCGAATGTTTGCGCACCGCACCAGGTACTCATTTGAGGCCGAGTCGACTTAGGAGAGGCCCAGGACCGATTCAAATATTCTCCGCTGTTATTATTGGTCGTGAGCGGGAATCGAACTCGGGTCGCCGGTTTTGTAGCACCACCGCCCCCTAGTATACCATCAGCGCCCCGCCACCCCCGTCAATCCATCCCATCCACCACCGCCACCACCGCCGCGTTTTTTTCTTCTTGATTCTTTCGGTAAAGTCACGTAGAATGGAAATAATAAAGAAGACAGAGTCCGAAATAGACTCTGTCTTCTCGACAAACCTGTTCTCCACCTGAGGACGGCTGCTTGCGTTGTGGCCGAAACGTCGTGAGAATTATTTTATAATGTTATACTTTTATTATTTTACTAGCTGTACTACCCGGCTTCGCCCGGGACTTGTATCCACCACGGCCGGCCGCCTTTGTCTCCCCAGTGGCGATGTTAATACGCCACACCAGTTACTCGTTTTGCGGCTAAGTCCCTCCCTCAGCACTCTCCCTCCCTCACCACTCTCCCTCCCTCACCACTCACGCACGGCCGCCTTTGTCTCCCCAGTGGCGATGTTAATACTCCACACCAGTTACTCGTTTGAGGCTGAGTCGACCTAGGGGAGGTTCAAATAATCGTCACCGGTGGTGGCCGTGAGCGGGAATGGAACTCGGTTCGCCGGGTTTGTAGCGCAGCGTAGCGTTAACCACTACACCCACCGCTCCTCACACACCACACACGCACAGACACACACACAGACACACGCAGACACACACAGACAGACACACACACACAGACACACAGACAGCACGCTAACCACTACACTACCGCTCCCCACACACCACACACGCACACACACAGACACACACACAGACACACACACACAGACACACACACACAGACACAGACAGCACGCTAAGCACTACACTACCGTTCCCCCTACACAACACACGCGCGCGCGTCCATAGGTACACATACACGCGCTTGCTGCAGACACACACGACTTTCAGGGTGCGTACGGCAGTAAACGACTGAAATAATAAAGCGGCAATGCTGTGCGAGGAACGCCTTAGACCAGCAACACATTTGTGTAATGCGAGCGTAAACACACAAACACATACAAACACATACACACACATACATACACACACATACACACAAACACATACACACAGACATACACATACACACAAACACACACATACATGCACACAAACACATACACAATACACACACACATACATGCAGACACAGACAGACACATAACACACATACATACACACACATACACACACATACATACACACACACATACATACACACAAACACATGCACACACGTACATACACACATACATAGAGACACGCAGACATACACATAAAGACATTAAAAAAACCCACATACATACACACACATACACACAAACACATACATACACATACATACACACATACATAGAGACACACAGACATACACATAAACACAAACACACATACACATGACCCGGCTTCGCCCGGGACTTGGATCCACGATGCCCCGCCGCCTTTGTCTCCCCAGTGACGATGTTCACACACGACAGCAGTTACGCTTTTGAGGCTGAGTGGACCTAGGGGAGGGCCAGGTCCGTTTCAAATAATCGTCAGCGGTGGTGGGCGTGAGTTGGAATCAAACTGGGGTCGCTCAAGCAGCTTAATGACTGTTTGTACAAAGAACATATAAAGAATCGATTATAATAACCAGGCAAGAGTCCACATTATAGACTGCCAGTACACGCACTCAGCTTCATAAGCAGGCTAGAGTGTACATGATAGAGTGGCAGTACGCTCACCGAGCTTAATAAGCAGGCTACAGTGTACATGATAGACTGGCAGTACGCTCACCCAGCTTAATGAGTATTTGTACAGTGAACATTAAAGTAATCGATTGTTGGCGCGTTGGGTTTAAAAGTAATATTAATAGCACACATTGTGGTGGGGGTGTAGTGAAGAGTAGGAAAAACTTTGATGAATTTACCTCAGAGTGGCGTGGTGGGTGTCGAGGCCTAGTAGCGTGCAAAGCCTGCGGCCTCGCCTAAAATTGTCGGCTTGGAAGAGGCAGGGTACGGGTGGCGTTCCTTCCCCCCCCCCCCTAGCGCTCCAACAATACTGTGTAATGGCTATTATTTAATTAAATACGGAGCTTATGAAAGTGGCGAAGGCGTGGCTAGCCGTTGGCAGGGGCAACCGCCGTCCAATGAAACTGCAGCCCTTGGCGAAGGCGTGGCTAGCCGTTGCCAGGTCCAATGAAAGCGGCGAAGGCGTGGCTAGCCGTTGCCAGGGGCAACCGCCGTCCAATGAAAGTGCGTATGGGCCAAAGTCCACACACACACACACAGACAGACAGACATGAACGATTTTATATATATAGATTATTTCCCTTCTACGTGACTTTACCGAAAGAACCAAGAAGATGAATCCCTGCAGTCACGAAAGCTTTACATCGAAATTTACACCGCCGCGTTATTTACCGAAGAATGCCACCAGGAACCCCTCCGCCTGGCAGAGCGCGTCCTCCATCTGCAGCTGGGATCGCAAGGCGTTGGTGACAGTGGTCGCTACGCCTCCTCCGAGCGCCACTCCGAGGTCCGCGCAGGCCAGGCTCAGCAGGGCATAGTTCAAGGGCTGCCGCAGCGCCCGGTATCGAACCGTCGTGGCCACCACGATGGAGTTCAGAGTGACGGAGGCGGCCGTGGTGACTCCCATGAGTGCGGCCAGCAGACCGTAGCCCACGGGACCCAGAGACGGGGCAGGAGTCGCCGTAGAGGTCTCGTTGGTCGAGGAGGCTTCGAGGAGGTGCGAAGAGGAGGGTTTGATGGTGGTGGATGTCACCATCATCACCATCATCGTTGTGGTCATCTTCATCGTCATCGTCACCATCGTCGCTGTTGAGAGCGGACGTCGACAGCGTCCCCCTATGCCGTCGTGGAGGAGACGAAGCTACCTTCCTATCAGCGACGAAAATGAAATAACGATTGTATTTCCAACAGAGAGAATACAAAATAAAAGTAATCTGTGCCGTGCGTGCCTCTGCGTATGCGCATGTATGCACGCGCACAATATACAACTACAAATTAGCTCACGGTGCGGTCGTTTCTGATTGGCAACAAGAAAAAAAATGATTATCTGCGTGTCGGAATACCTCCGTGTGTGTACAGGTGTGGAGGGTTATTCAACTGCGTGCATCTATGCCTGAGCTGTGTGCGCGCCTGGCATCTGTGTATGTATATGTGTGTGTATGTCGGTCTTTGTGTGTGTGTGTGCGCTACAGATGTATCTGTGTGTCTCTGTGTATGCGTAAGCTGATTGTATATGTGTCTTTGACTCTGTGCATGCGTGTGTGACTGTCTATGTGCAATTGAGTTGCGTATGTGTGTGCGTCTGTCTGCGTGCGCTGTGTATGCGTAAGATGAGAATGTGTGTCTTTGTGTATGCGTGTGCCACTATGTGTAAATAGGTTGCGTGTGTGTGTGTTGTCTCTTCGTACGTGTGTATCTCTGTGTGTGAGCTGTGAGACGTGAGCTCCGCTTCCCTTGTGCAGCTCACACACCGTGCACGCCTTTCGGAAATGTGCGCAGGGGGTGATGCTTGGGCAGGGCATTGTGAAGGGATCACAGGGGAGGCGGCAGTGGAGAGGGAGCAATGGGGATGGGGGGGAGAGACAGGCAGCGAGCAGCATTTGGAGTTGGAGCCAGTCTGAAGGCTTCAAGAGGTCGTGGTACGGATTACGTGTGGCGATGTGACGCACGCGTGCAATCCGGGATGCATTTCTCATTCGATATCATTTCCAGAACGCTTGCTGGTACGTGTGTTGAACTTCTTTCATACCGTACGTAGCCATCCATGTTAATCGGATGTGCCGGGGAAGGTTAACAAACTAAACGCAAAAAAGCAGTTCTAAAGAAATGAGTTTTGAATCTAGATGATTTAAAAGTGCATAGCTCCAGTGGCTTCCTAATATCGGACGGAAGAGCGTTCCAGACGGCCGCAGAAGCGCATCTGAAAGGGCGCGATGTGGTTACCGTCTCCATTCCATGGCTAGGCTGTTATTGGAGTAAGACTTATTGGCGTAAGGCACTACCACTGAGAATAAAAATGTTCTCGTGTATCCACGATAATCCTTTACCTGGCTTGTCAGGTGTTGTAGGTGTAGGGGATGCAATGTGGCCAGGAAAGTGTTCACCCCTTCGGTTGCGTCCTGGGACTTCTCTGGGCACTCCGGTTGGCTCTCAGACGAAGGCAAACACGAATGGCATTGGTAAACACATCCCAATGTAGCAGGGCTCCGACAGAAGAACATTCATTATGCTCATTGAGGACTTCCTGTGTAAATAATTGGCATCATGATTACATTTATCATGTTACCGTACACCCTGAATATATTCTTATTAGCAGCCTCGGAGAGAATTGGGGCAATACGGTTCAAGTTCAAGTTCATTCGGCTCTTGAATCGGGTGCAACCGCAACAAACAAAAAACTAAAACATGAACAAAAAAACTTCTTAAAGTGAATATGTGACTGAGTGCAAACAGAAAAGAAAGACAGCAAAATATTGCAGAAAAAAACACCGTACACCAACGCTGTGTGCAAAAATCCCAGTGGGATGCAAGTCAAACAACCAACAACAACCACAAGACAACTTAGATTAAGGCCATCAGTCTAACTCTGTACTACAACAAACAAACATGGCTAAACCAATACACTTTTCGAAATCACCAAAATAAAGCCATGAAATCAATGAAACAGTGATCATAGGAACTGTGACGGAATTTTCACAATAAATGGCATAAACAACATGTACCACCAAAACCCTGCAGCCATAGCTGGCTGCATGAGTCACTCCACAACAGCAGGAGATGCGAGCATCTCGACTGGACCAATGTTTTCAAGCAAAATGTGTTAAAGAAGGGAAATCAGGGACCGGTGTTGACTTCCTGGGTCTCGTCAAAAGGGTGTGGCCCATTTCACAAATGCTTCTCGGTTCCCTGTTGTGGCCACTGGTCCTACGTTATTAGTAATTACGCAGAGCCTTGTATGTTTACTATAATCCACCTTTTCAAATACACTGCATTATGATTTCATACATAACAAGATTCTGTCCAACTCTTACCTGTAAGTGTGTGAGTCTGTCACAGCATTCACTTGAGTCTCCTTCATCATACAGGCTCCGGTCAGGGTTCATTTCTGCCGAAATAATCCATCAACTTATGATATTGAAGGTGAGTTATGCACGACCTTTAACTTTAAATCGAAAGTTCAGAAATCCGTAACCGATTGCTCACCGCACTGAGGGGTGCACCACGTGTTTGGATATAATGGTCTATTGCACTTTGATTATAATTTGCCCAGGGCCTGCTATTTTGCATTAACCATTGTTAAATAATATATCCGTATTGAGTGTCTGGTGAGCGCGCTGGTGAGTGTGTGGTGAGTTGTGCAAGTGGCGAGGGGTGAGTGTCACGTGAATGTCAATTGACTCGTGCATGGTGACGAGTCAGTGTCAGACGAGTCTGGTGAGTGATGGAAAATCGGGCGAGTATCGTTTGGTGAGCGTAGAGAGGAAAGGACACGTGACGAGTGGTCTCTCTGAGTGATCGGTGTGAGCTGCGAGTTCGCGTGGTGAGTGCCAAGTGTTTGGTGAGAAATCGGGTGAGTGCAAGTGGTGTGCGATGAAGTGTTGAGTGGTGAGCATTTGGTGAATACTATCTGTCGAGTGAGTGGACGTCCTGCTGTGGGTCCGGTGTCAGATGATCGGGACTCATGCCACCCTGTCCAGGTGAATGCATCTATCGAGGAACAAACTCAGGGTGCACAGTGAAAACCCATGCGGACATTCCAGCACATATTTTCGATAACCTACTCGCCAAACCGCGAATTGCAACCACCTCGCTGCCCCTGCCACGCGTGCACCACCACAAAGTGTGGCCTCGTTTCAATAATTGCGACTGTTATTAACAGACTGGTGAAAGCATTTACACCATTGGAACCTCATTTACCAGTAACAAATATGATAATTGGTTTTTAACCCTTCTATCTGGCAACAAAACTGACACCGTTTTTACAAGGAGTCATGTTTGCATAGACCACAATACCAGCAGTCATAATGCAAAAAAAAACATAAATTTGATAATGTATGCACTGTCCTTGAAGTTGATTGACGCCTTTTGGCGTCATCTGGTCCAACCCATGTGAGACTAGGCTCTAAGGAAAGCTGTCTCGGGTGTGGACCAATCAACTTCAAGGACAGCGCATACATTATCAAAGTTATGTTTTTTGTTTGTATTATGACTGCAGGTATTGTGGTCTATGCAAACATGACTCCTTGTAAAAAATGTGTCAGTTTTGTTTGCCAGATAAAAGGATAAAAACCAATTAACAGGCCGGTGAAATTATAGCTGCAGGGATCATGTGAAAGCATTACGTGCGATATACACAACCCTCGAAAAACGTCGATTTTTGTTTTGTTTTATTCACCCGCGTGGTTCGATGGAAGACATCGCGAGCTGAAGAATCGACCTGACCTCGGGTGACAAATCGCACCGTTGCCACAACTCGCCATGGAGCATCGTGCACGAGTGGAAAGAAGCACGATCGGTCAACGTGCTCTCAAGTGACATTGCAGCGCGATTCGGGGGATACGATGAAGCATGGATAAGCGTCTCAGCAGCAACCTGGGGGTAAGGAAATTGGCAGATTAAAGAGATTTCGTGGAGAGCCGAGGTGTGATGACTTGCAGACTTGAAATATGCGGGAAGACAGCGAGAGCTTGGGATCTATGATCGGCTCTTATTCATGTGACATCATCAAACTCGAGTTTCAGAGACTCTCATCAACACCATCTATCACGTGGTTCCATGTGTTTATGTGCCGGTCCGTTTTACATAGAAATAAGGATCGCTTATTAACACTCACATGTTATTGAACATATTACGTGTCCAAAGTACAAATGTGCGTGTTATCTGCGCGCTACAAAAACGTGTGTTTTTCCCCACTGTGTTGGGACATGTTTGTTATTCAATGTTTGGATGCACCCGGGATTGGTGGATCACACGCTGTTTGTGTAACTCTCAAACCCATATTCTTAGGGTTTTTTGGTAAAGTCACGTAGGAAAAAACATTAAAAAGTAAAATAAAATAAAAATCACGACGTTTCGGAGGCAACACAAGCTTCCGTCTTCAGGAGGTACCGTCACAGCCACGACAGCTGTATCAAGTAAATGAGAGATTGCAGAAGCTACCACTCCGTTTATATAATGGTTGGAGAAGGTGGTGGGGCAAGGGCCGCATACTTTTATTAATATGGTAAGGTGAGGCTCAAACCCACTTGGGCTGCAGGGTGGCAAGCAGATAGGAGCACAGCAAATGGGGTTGGGAGACTGTCGGTGTGGAAATCTGAGCGATATCTCCTCGCATGTGTCGTGGGCTTCCTCCAGGTTATCTCGTTTTCTCCTACATCCAAAGGTGATACATTTACGAAACATGCCGATGCAGAACCCTCCTGGAACATTACCAGAGGCACTCAGTGATTCTGTCCTGAAAACATAAATGACTTTATTCAGGAAAGATTGCGTATTTTTTTTAATGTCTTTTTTTAAACGTGAAAACACGTACTCGGTGGCAGTGCAATGAATGGATGTTGAGAAGCACTGCCTTAAATGTCCTTATTTGTGTCTGCTCAGAGTCTGGTATACATTTTGGAGTTTCTGCTAATTCTGGACAATGTCATATATGTTCTTGAGAATAGGTTTTCCCCTTTTTTCTGGCAACAAAACAGGTGTTAAGATGTTAAAACACCAAACTGAAACCTTTTACAAGGAATCATGTCTGCATTAACCACTATACTTGTGGTCAGAATGCAAACAAAAATAACATACTCTGATAATATATGCATTGTCTTTGAAACTGATTGGTCCACACCAGAGACAGCTTTCTTTGGAGCCTAGTCTCATAAGGTGTTAGACAATGATGTAGATGCTCACCCCGAGCTCTCATTACTCTGATAGTGCATTGTCTTTGTGCTGTACGCCTTTTGGCGTCCTCTGGTCGAACACATTTTGAGATGAGGCTCCAAAGAAAGCTGTCTCTGGTGTGGACCAATCAGTTTCAAAGACAATGCATATATTATCAGAGTATGTTTTTGTTGTTTGCATTCTGACCACAAGTATTGTGGTTAATGCAGACATGATTTCTTGTAAAAGGTTTCAGTTTGGTGTTTTAACATCTTAACACCTGTTTTGTTGCCAGAAAAAAAGGGGAAACCCTATTCTCATATTTTGGTACTAGCAAAGGAGGTCCCATGATGTTGGCTCTTGTATGCCAGAGACCCGCCCAATTGGCTCAGAGGTCAGAATGCTGAGCTGGCACTGCTGAGATGCTAGGTACGAATCCAGGTAGCTTACCTGTCAATAAACAGAGTTCTCACATTCATTGAGTTGATGGTCGTCGTCCAATCACCAAGGATTTAAAAAAAAAAAAACTCATCACATTACATTTAGTTCTGCCATTCATGTGGATGAATTCCAGCTCTGAGAATATAAAAAAAATATCCGTGTCATGTGACAAACATTATTCTTGGTGGCAAGTGGAACAGTGATGCTCCCTACTGTGAAGGGATTTAAAATGTGCTTCTTTAATATCTGCTTTCACGAGCCGTTCTCGCCCACAAGGGGTCACGTTGCTAAGTGAGAGATGCGAATATCTTAATTATGGAGCTTTCGTGACTGCAGGGATTATTCTTTGTTCTCTCTCCTTGTGTCCTCTCTTTGGAAGTTTCACACTTAAACTCTAACTTAGCAATCTTTGAGATACGTAATCAACCAAGCTATGCGTTAATTGTGTGTTGACCGACTCTCTGTGTTGTATTACATCACATTTCGATATTTTGCGAGGTTATTTAATTTTAGTGTGCCTTTCTCCTAATTTACAAGCTTGCGTGCCGTGCCACGTCGTCATCTTACTAGAGCAGCAGCAGCACTTTGCCACTCATTGATATGCTAATTTTCTCTGCCCCCTCCCTCTCTCCGTCCCTGCCCCCCTCTCTATATTTAAGGGACCGTCACAGAAACGACCCCTCTCTTTGTGCCGATATGTGTCCTCTCTCTGTGTGTCCTTGTGATGTCTGTCTGCTTGTATGTCTGTCTATAGTTTTCTAGTTAGATTTTTTGTTGCTATCTCTTTTTTTGCCTGATGATGATTGCTTGTGTTGCAATAGAAACGTCGTAATATGCTTTTATTTTAATTTATTATTTTATCTTTAGACGTGACTTAACCGAAAGAACCAAAGAAGAGATGCGAATGTTTTCTTCGACGCATCACGTGACACCGAAAGTGCAATCGGGATACAATGTAGGAAAAAAAAATCCCAAACATTAAATATAAAATCCCATGATTATATGGTGCTCGTCACAAGTCTTGGCAGCTTATCCAGTCGTGGTCATGCTTTGGCCCGGACAATGCGAGCCGTTGTTGAGCATCTCACGCGCTCATTAACAGAATGAAGCCAGAATGCAATTCTGTGGCTGCCGTATTCAGGGATAACGCACAAAAAAAACATATCCAAACCGCACAATAGATGTGATTGCCTGTGTAGTAAATGCGACCAGTGTACCACGCTATATTTGTGTGGAACGTAGAATGCTGTGTCCCATGTGAGATTCGCTTTGTGTGTGAATGAACCCTACATTTCTGAAGACATGTTTAAGTACATTGTTTGAGCAACATTGGGAATTAAATTATACACTTCCCCATGATTATTAGTACAGTACCTCTCTGCCACTGGAATGTCGCTGCTAGTATGGCCCATTGTGCAATAAATACAATGTTCTTTTGCAGCTGTTAGCCAGTGGTGGAAATTCCACATTCATGTGGCGTGGATGGAGACGTCCCCATGCTGTGGATTCGTTGGGGGTTATTTGACCATACCTCTCCACGATGGTCAGTGCGGGTTGGTGAAGGGGAGCATAGCCTTGGGAGCATAGTACAGTACAACACAAAGGCTTTTGGTGCCCTGCCCATCCAAACATTATCCATTCTCAAAAATCCTGCTTAGCTTCTGAGATCTGACGATACAAGGTGCATTGTGGGTGATACATGGTCATGAGTGTGACACAGGTGTCATCAGTTAAGCTTGTTGGCTTCCAGCATTACACGATACATTATAAACCTGGGACTTTGAGAGGGTTGGTGGGTCATGCAGAGATGGGAGCCATCATCACGCAACTTGAAACACGCATTAATTCTAGATTTGAAGCTTTCGTGACTGCAAAGATTCATATTCTTAGGTTTTTTCGGTTAAGTCACGTAAGTAAAACATCAAAATAAAAATAAAAAATAAATAAAAATCACGACGTTTCGGAGGCAACACAAGTCTCCGTCATCAGGTGGGACCGTCACAGCCGAATTAGCTGCATCAAGTGAAGCAATGATTCAAGATGTAATCCCTTATAAGCAAGTTGAAGGGAGGTGGAGAGGGGGGGAGAGCTTATCAGACTGTGGTAGCCAATGAATGGAAACGTATCGGGAGGGAGGAGGAGCGGTGATCAAAGACTGCACGTAGTGCTCAACACAATGAATGGAAACGTGTCGGGACGGAGGGTGAGCAGTGATCAAAGACTGCACGTGTGGATGTTAACACTCGGTGAAGTAAATTAAAATAGTGCCTGTCAGATAAGATGGTCCAAAAAAGTGTAATTAAGTCTTTTTTTGCGTGGTTAATAACATCTTTCCAATGATTACTGAGTTTGTACCCATCATCACGGTTGAAATTATGTCTGTGTTTGTATATTTGTATGGCTTCGTGTACAAACCTTTGATGGTAGCCAGGAGGTTTGCAGAGAACCTTGGTCTCGGAAAAGACAATTTCATGAGAGCCCGCCGAGTTGTAGCAATGATCGGCAACGGCCGAAGAATCAGTTCTGCCGTGTTTCAGATCTGACTTGTGCTCGCGGACATGATCAGCAACATGACGTTTTGTTTCTCCAATGTAGCAATCACCACAAATGCAACTCAATTTGTAGACTCCAGGATACTGTAAGTCAGGAACGACATCCTTCACAGATGGAATCAGATCACGGATTTTATGCACTGTACTGAATCGGACTTGGATCTTATGTTTGTTTAGAATTTTGGAGATCTTTTTGGTCACGCCTGCTATGTATGGTAACGTGATAGTTTTGGTCGGAGTTTCATGTGGCTGTTTCTTCTATGTGGTGGGAGAAACCGCTTGGCGGATAGTACGGTCAGAGTATCCGTTCATCCTGAGGGCCCGATGTACATGTCTCAATTCACCGGTCAGGTGGTGTTGGTCAGAAATGCCATGGGCTCTGTGGTATAGCGTTTTGATGAGAGAATTCTTTTGAGATGGGTGGTGGTGGGAATCCGGTTTCAAGTAGGAATCTGTGTGGGTGGCTTTCCTGTAGACAGAATGTCCCAAGGATCCGTCAGGTCTCCTCTCAAACAGAATATCCAAAAATGGTAGTTTGCCGTCTTTCTCTACTTCCATAGGACGCGTCCTTCCTTTTGGAAGAGGTATGTTGATGACACTTTCGTCATCTGGCCACATGGCCTCCCAGCACTGAACCACTTCTTAGACCACATCAATTCTAGACACCCATCCATCAGATTCACTATGGAAGTAGAGAAAGACGGCAAACTACCATTTTTGGATATTCTGTTTGAGAGGAGACCTGACGGATCCTTGGGACATTCTGTCTACAGGAAAGCCACCCACACAGATTCCTACTTGAAACCGGATTCCCACCACCACCCATCTCAAAAGAATTCTCTCATCAAAACGCTATACCACAGAGCCCATGGCATTTCTGACCAACACCACCTGACCGGTGAATTGAGACATGTACATCGGGCCCTCAGGATGAACGGATACTCTGACCGTACTATCCGCCAAGCGGTTTCTCCCACCACACAGAAGAAACAGCCACATGAAACTCCGACCAAAACTATCACGTTACCATACATAGCAGGCGTGACCAAAAAGATCTCCAAAATTCTAAACAAACATAAGATCCAAGTCCGATTCAGTACAGTGCATAAAATCCGTGATCTGATTCCATCTGTGAAGGATGTCGTTCCTGACTTACAGTATCCTGGAGTCTACAAATTGAGTTGCATTTGTGGTGATTGCTACATTGGAGAAACAAAACGTCATGTTGCTGATCGTGTCCGCGAGCACAAGTCATATCTGAAACACGGCAGAACTGATTCTTCGGCCGTTGCCGATCATTGCTACAACTCGGCGGGCTCTCATGAAATTGTCTTTTCCGAGACCAAGGTTCTCTGCAAACCTCCTGGCTACCATCAAAGGTTTGTACACGAAGCCATACAAATATACAAACACAGACATAATTTCAACCGTGATGATGGGTACACACTCAGTAATCATTGGAAAGATGTTATTAACCACGCAAAAAAGACTTAATTACACTTTTTTGGACCATCTTATCTGACAGGCACTATTTTAATTTACTTCACCGAGTGTTAACATCCCCATGTGCAGTCTTTGATCACCGCTCACCCTCCGTCCCGACACGTTTCCATTCATTGTGTTGAGCACTACGTGCAGTCTTTGATCACCGCTCCTCCTCCCTCCCGATACGTTTCCATTCATTGGCTACCACAGTCTGATAAGCTCTCCCCCCCCCCTCTCCACCTCCCTTCAACTTGCTTATAAGGGATTACATCTTGAATCATTGCTTCACTTGATGCAGCTAATTCGGCTGTGACGGTCCCACCTGATGACGGAGACTTGTGTTGCCTCCGAAACGTCGTGATTTTTATTTTTATTTTATTTTGATGTTTTACTTACGTGACTTAACCGAAAAAACCTAAGAATTTGAAACACGCAATTGCTTCGACAGCGAAATTGCCTACAGGCGGCAGTACAGCAAATCGGTTACGGGAATATCTGTGCAAGGGTTTGAGTGTAGTTTCCTCTCCCTCTCACACGCACTCACACACAGAGAATCCTTTTTTAGAAATGTGCCAAGACACGTTTTGGCAGGAACCTCCTGAAAATAAGTCTTGAGACTCAGTCAATCTTGCAACCTGCAGATATGCAGTCATTAGTCTCCCGCTCACATGATTCACGGCCCTGAGGTGAGTGGTGGAAATTCAACATTCCTTTTGCCGGGTCTACGCCCTCATTCCAATTGGGCAACCAATTGGAATTAATTCAATCCTTTCTTTGTTTAGATTGTCATTATTATTATCGCGTAAAAAAAATCCCCACGACATCACCACCCTGTTACTATTACCAAACAATGATTACGTATATAGTCGTCGGTAATAATTATTCAACCAAAAAATAAAAAATCATTATTTATGGCCGTTCAATTGTTTAAAAGTGTGGGGGGGAGGGGAGACAAAAAACACAATGCCCCCACCCCCTGGCGCGACCCACGTGACCAGCTTGCCCGAGCCCTTATTGGTCGGCGCGCGATGACGCGGACCTTCTTTCCGAGCAGCCCAAGGTGAGTGGAGGCGGTGTGCGCGGCTCGGCTCCTCGTTTGAGCTTCGCAATCCGAAGCCATCGGCCCCTTTGCCGTGGACAAAAGTTCCGATTTTACTGCGCGATGGAGAGTGGCCCTTGCAGCGGACGCAGTTAGCTAGTCGGCGTCCGTGCAATGCGTTTTGTTTCGCGGTTAGAGCCGCGTTCTTTGTGTTCGGCTGTTCGCGTTACGGGGACACGTGTTGGAGCGTCTGCGCAGTGAACTTCTGGGTGGTGGTGGTGGTGATGGGGCATATCCATCTTGCGCTGGTATTACGATATCGATGTATCTTTCTTACGTTGCGTAGCAATATCGATATTTAATTTGCCGAGTTTGTGTTTTTGTAAGGGCTCTTGGTTACTAAGCTAATGTGGTGTGTGAAGGGAACGTCTTACAGTATTCGATTGCTGGCGCATTGCCCATAACCCCACCCTAAAGGATTAAGTTAGAAATGTGTGTGATTGTTAGAGATTATTCTTTTCTCGCGTGCGTTTGCCGTGGTGTCCAGTCGACCCACCACTGGATCCTTGATGAATTAATATTTATCTGATTAGCACAAGTTGGTGTGTGTAGTTTTTTTTACATTTTTCGGGTACTGCAAAACAAAAGCTCAACATTCATGGAAATATCTCCCCTCTTTGAGATGGGCCCATGGTTCGTGAGTTGTTATCGAGGCGGGTGTGGGATGATGATGAATCTTAACATAAATCTTCCTGAGGACTTGTTGCTTCCAAAGATGACAACAATCGCTCCACTCTGACTGCACCCGCCGTCGTCTTAACCCCTCTGAACTCTTGGTTCTTTCGGTAAAGTCACGTACAATCGAAGGAAAATAATAAAATAATAAAGATAAAATAACGTGGTTGGGGGGGGGACCATCTTCCCAGCAGTTCCAAGGCGCGATAAACATTTCTGAGTAAGACACAAATTTGGGTTTTTTAAACCCACGTGTCTGTACAAAGTCGCTCTCAATGCCTCCACATTTTCTGCCACTTTTTCCAATTTTCGTTGGAATTGGCTTCACCAATTCCTGTGGCTTTACAGTCCCAAGGAATTGTGTGAAGTTAACATTGAAGCCCCCCCCGTGACACGTTTTATTCCTCTGCAGTTGGGCTATTGTAGATATTTCTTTGGAGATTCTGCTCGACTGAACGCAAGTTAATGCAGTTGGCAGCTAGGTTTGACAAAACCCATTTATTTTTCAGGGAAGTAATCGTAAAATGTGGACCATGCTGTTAATGGCTTTTGTTGTGCATGATTGTCCCGGAGTCTTTAACATTCACTTCACAAGTAATACTCCACTTTACAATCGGTGATCTTCCACAAGATTACTGGTTGCAGCTGCAATTTCGTTAATGCATTTGAAAATAAAATCTACCCTTACAGTCAGCAATTTCTCGTTTCTTAAGCGTGGATCTGATTGCGTAACTACTGAACATAAGTGTATAGTTTAAGTGTGTGCGTTTTTGCCGTTTTCTCACCATCCCTTCAGTCACAAGGCCATAATGGAGAAGCTTTGGACAGAAAACAACCATTGGATTGGTGAGTTTTGGTTTTGTAAAATCCTAGACTGTTCATGCCCAGTCCAATTGGTAACATAATATGCCTCTTGCATCTCGTACAGTGTTAGATTGTTGGCGTGCGATATGTGCCACCGAGGGAGGGGTAGGAATCTATGCCACGTGGCCTGCCCCCTGTGTGATTGTATAAATGTGACCTGTCCCTGAGCGAATTTGTAAATATTTGTCGAGCAAAATCAACACCGTAGATAGATTTCATTGATGAAATTAAATTCTACTGCACAAGTTAACCCTCTGGATTTGGTTGTGGTTTTTCTTTTCAGGGGTATAGTTACAGGGGGAAATTTTTACTTCACCAATGTCAGTTTGACGAAGGTCACGGCTAGATTAGCTATTCCCCAATTGGTATTTGTCAATGCTCATAGCAGTGCGCAGAACACTGCCATTACTACCCCAAAAGCATGGGAATGTTGAAATGCTACCGAGTTGGTGAATATGTTGTGGGGCAGGACCGGCGATTGTGTTTACCTAGAGATGCAAACCCGATATTTCATACACTGTAACCTTATCGTGGTTTGTGTCCCCATATGATTTTTAACGAGTGTGCAAATGATGCCATAGCACTTATAAGATCTGCACCTGATCTGATTCACCGTGATAGCTTTTGCTCACTCTGATGCACACTCATGAGAGACACAGCTTGTCCGCCGCGTCATCATCTCAAGTCGAGCTAACCACGTGTGTGTGTATACATGTCTACCCACCGCAGGGGCACGTGGTGAACGTGAAGGGAACCGACGTCCACACTTCACAGTGGCATCTGTGCTTTGAAGTGGATGCCACGTGGCACGAGGTGTAAGATGGAGAATGTGTATGAAGATTACTGGAGTATGAGAGGGTGGTTCCGAGCCAGTGCTGTGGCTGTGATGGCGCTCTGCTCACAGTTCCTGAAGGGTGGCCTGGGTTGGGAGTTCTGGGTGTCCACGCAAGATGAAAAACAGGTTGTCAAGCGTGGCCACTTGGTCGTCTCAGGGCTGCACAAAGATATGAATGTGGTTTTACTTTTATCATATTCTGTCAGATGCCGCTATGAGGTGTGTTATCAACAGAACGTGTCCCTGGTGTAAATCTCTCAAGGGTTCTGACCTTTTTTTACCCATATCCCTTTGCTCATACCGTTGCCGTGACGGGAATATGGTTTTGGTCATTTCAAAGTGAATTATTAGCGACTGGTTTGAAACGTGATTTTCAAAACCCGAGGAGCAAAAGCTGCGGTGACATGTATTGCGCCATGTGGAGGAACAACCTGTTGACCTCGTCTGTGGAGGGAAATATCTGGTGGATAATTGGCTTGCTGACAACGCTGTTGGCGTGCTGGTGTGGAAATTTGTAAAAATGTTAACTTTCATTGGCACTGCCTTGTAACAGATTTATAGCGGCCTAACTGGATGGAAATGCACTTGAGTTACCAAAAAAGTTCCCCTTGAAGGAAAGGTTGATGGATAAATATCTACGTTAACTTATCAATGTATGAACTAAATTGAGTAAATTCTGTAAAATGCATATTGAAAATACTGTAATTTATTTTGCAACTTGTGGAGCATCCCGCAGTTGTTTTGCACTTGCTGTATTTATGATAAACTACATGTGAATTAAATTGTTTTTCTTGTGAATTGTGTAATAAAAAGCAACACTGAAATGAACCGGCGTTGATGGGGATGCTCTGTCCGTGAACCCTATTGATACGATGACTGGTGTCTTATCGAAAAGATTAATAAACTCATGGGGGGTGTATGTTATGTGACTGATGCGACTATGCGCAGATGTCCAAATAATTTTTTTACTGAATAGGGAATTGCTTGATGCTTCCAGGAGACTATTTTGGGATGACTTACCCGCCGAAAGAATTGAGGGCATCTTTATGACAAACACAGGAAGTTGAATTTGGCACCACGAAATGAGGGAAATGGACAGCTGATGGTTTTTTACGGATCTGGCCACGTTCTGCCGGCTGTAAATCTATGGTTGGGACTTTTATAAGTGTCAACTTTGGGGTGGAGTTAGACCATAGGTGGTAAAGATGGCAACTGCCATTTCTTGCTCGCTGCTGGGCCTCCACTCGAGGCAATTTGCGGGTGTTGCCTCATCGCGGTGCCTGGACGTCTGAATTTCAAATCTAAACTTAGTTTACCAGGTAAGGCCCACTGAGCTTGTATAACTTTTTGGAACAAAGTGGCTTGTGGAAATTTATAGCAACCAAATACTCAACGAATGTTTCTTAACGGTGGGAACAACTGGAGATCCCAGAGAAAAATCCACTCAACCGCTGGGGTAACACGCAAACTCAAAATATGCAGGAGTTGGGATCGAACCAACAACCTCCTGTATACTAGGTGAGGTAGTCGACATGGCGATTTGGTAATGCCCGCATATAACTCCACGCGACATTTTGTATTAACTGGTTGCAACTATACGACTGGATTGAAGCAACTTTGCCCATTTTAAACTGCTGTATTCTGGATCGAAAGTCGAGTTTGCAAGATGTTACTTCAACCACAGCCTCTTCGAATTGTACAATCTCCACAAAAGCTAAGCTCACGTGGTCTGCATGTTTATTGTAGTACACTTGCATACCAACTAGTATTGATTGTTACTCTGACCAATTGCCTTTCAGTTACCTGGCTTAATTTAACACGGAGTAAAATTACTTATTTTCAGTTGCATTCCTATTAAAGCTCGAATACGGATCAATAATGATCCAGCCAATACAATTGTACAAAGATCCAACCTATAAATTGCCTGCAGACAATTCACATCGTCGGGACCACGTGGCTTTCGTGTAACCCAACGTCGGCAAATCGTTTTACCCAAACAGCCTGTATCACCTATTGCGTGAGAATAGCCAAATATCTGGCAACAAAACTGACACATGTTTTACGAGGAGTCATCTTTGCATAGACCACAATACATGCAGTCATAATGCAAACAAAAAACACAACTGATAATGTATGCACTGTCCTTGAAGTTGATTGGTCCACACCCGAGACAGCTTTCCTTAGAGCCTAGTCTCACCCTGGTGTTGGACCAGATGACGCCAAAAGGCGCAAACATGACTCGTAAAAAAAGGTGTCAGTTTTGTTGCCAGATTAAAAGGGTAAAAAACCAATTATATTTTTCTACTGGCAAATGAGGTCCCACTGGTGGAATAGCCAAATAGTTCACTGTTAACATTCGTTGTACAGGGTATAACACTGTTGATGCATCCAGCACGCGCTGATTCTCTCCACAGTCGTGTTGTAGGACAGCTGTCACCAACCTTTTTGGCACCAGGGACCGGTTTCGTGGAAGACAATTTTTTTTGGGTAATTCCCCCATTTCAAAGAAGCTTTCCAGCGACGTTTTTAAATCCTTTATTTTAAGTTCGCTTGCTTGCTTGCAACCGTGCAAATCTTTCGGTCGTTTTTTAACCAACTTCCCGTGATCCAATCGAGCTGACATTTTGCACACAGACTCGTTGTGCGTGACAATTAATTTTCGTGAATTTTTTTTCCCAAAATTTTACACTGTTTAGGGGAAAATAAATAAATATTTAATTACCAATTGCTTAATGCTGGCAGACAATCATCTGACCCATAGGTGGCAGCCATCTCAAGCCAGAGGACGAGAGGACTCTAGCCGCCACGCATATAAAGGATTTAGAGTGAAAAACTTAGTTTTTACGGGTTAATTTTTTTACTCATTTTGGCTCTGGGTTAGCAGCTTGTGGGCTCACCAAAACTGTGACTGAGACGTGGATGGAAGTGGTGAATAATAAACTAATGGGGCGGGGGCCACGCGCGGACTCACCGCTCACCTGCTGCTGTGCGGCCCGGTTCTTAACAGGCCACGGACCGGTCCGTGGGTTGGGGACCCCTATTCATATTCTTAGGTTTTTTCGGTAAAGTCACGTAGGTAAAAAATTAAAATTAATGAAAGTAAAATAAAAATCACTAATTTTTTTTTTACTTTTATTTTTTACCTACGTGACTTTACCGAAAAAACCTAAGAATATGAATCCTTGCAGTCACGAAAGCTTCAAATCTAGAATTGGGGACCCCTGTTGTATGATAATTGTTGGCAGCAGAGGGCAGGCTCGCACAATCAGGTGGCCTTGTAGTAAATACTTCACTTTTACACCACGCGGGGGCGCATCGTTATTACACCGCGGGTCTGAAAACAAACTTTTATTAATGTTGCACAATAAAGTTCGTGGGTAATCTAAATGGACTTTGATCCGAGGTGGCTGCTGGGGTGAATTCGCTGAGTTGCTGTGTTTGAATCCAAACAGTTGGCCGTGATTACATCATAGTGAGCTGATGGTATCAGCCTGGTCACCAATTACTGCGCGCTAAACCGATCACTATCGAATTTGATTTCGATTTAAAGCTTTCGTGACTGCAGGGATTCATCTTCTTGGTTCTTTCGGTAAAGTCACGTAGAATGGAAATAATAAAAATAAAAAATAATAATATAATAATTCTCACGACGTTTCGGCCACAACGCAAGCAGCCGTCCTCAGGTGAAGAACAGGTCTGTCAGAAAGACAGCGTCAGAAAGACAGCGTTTGAATGAAAGACAGCGTCTGAATGATGCTGTCTTTCTGACAGACCTGTTCTTCACCGTCAGAAAGACAGCGTCTGAATGACGCTGTCTTTCTGACAGACCTGTTCTTCACCTGAGGACGGCTGCTTGCGTTGTGGCCGAAACGTCGTGAGAATTATTATATTATTTTATTATGTTTTATTTTTATTATTTTATTATTTCCATTCTACTGTGACTTTACCGAAAGAACCAAGAAGATCGAATTTGATGTGAATATGTTGGTGTTAATGTCATGGCGATCCCATAAAGTTTATGGATAAGTGTCAATGATACTAGTTTTTTTTCAGAAATAGTGAAAAATCGCTTCTGCGACACAGGGTCCACTGCTCTCGAGGTTTCTGAATGGATTCTACATCTCGTGACTCGAACTCAATCTAGGAAATACGGATGAATGGTTTAACAAAATGTTTGAATTCTAGACTTGAAGCTTTCGTGACTGCAAGGATTCATGCTCTTAGGTTTTTTCGGTGAAGTCACGTAGGTAAAAAATAATAATAAAATAAAAATTATATATATATTTTTATTTTTTTTATTTTAAAACTAGTATTTTAATAAAAATAAAATGATAAATGATTTTTTTTCATTTTTTTTTACCTACGTGACTTTACCGAAAAAACCTCAGAGTAATATGTTTGAAATTTCGTAGGACACGACTAAAGCTGCTGCAGATAGTCGTAAGTGTGCGTTTGTTCAATCACATTCTTTATTGAAGTACTGTAGACATTTTAATACACGCTAGACTTATTTATGTATTGCTTACTCACCCACACTGGACGTTTGTGAATAAGAGCTTCATAACTTATCGGAATTCCTCCAGTCTACGGATTATGTTGTCAAAAACAGGGCAGTGCGTGCACGTATCCCCATCGCCTCTTCACGTACGTACCATTGTGTATCAGTAGGCGCTCTCTAACAGCACTTGCACCAACAATCCGGCTAAGTGAGGGCTGTAGATATTAAGTCGGCACTAGAAGGGTTAAGTGATGACATGTGCACGACCCTTAAGTTGACCCTTGACCTCTCGGCGTTTGCTTCAGCAATTGGGAGGAGGGAGGGCTGGAGGGGTTAACGTGTAAATGCGCATCCCGCAGACTCTGAATATTGACACTGGAGGAGGAATCCGATGAGCTATGAAGCTCTTTCCCGTAGATGTCCAGTCGCCCAGATATTGGTCGCTTAGCGCCACCGCGATTGGAAGGGCCTCTAGGAGAGAGCCCATTCTAGAGGTCATTTGGGCTCATCTCCCATGCTGACCAGACGTCATCCCACCACAAGAGGCCTGTCACAGCCTGCGTTGTGTGCCTCGTGATACTGCGAGGCGGTTCAAGAAGCGTGCATTGTTTCATCTGCCGCGTCGAAAAATCGAACTGGCGATCCACTGGATTGCAACACAGGACACATCGTGCGCTCCTGTGGAGCGTTCTGAGTTCAAATAAACTGCTTGTGAAAGCAGAACTCCTTTCTGCATCTTCATCAATAAAATACAAATGTTGAGTCCATCATCCTTTTGGTTTTCTAGACCAATGTAAAGTGGAATTTGTTTAAGCGTGATAACTCTGGACCGATTTTATTTCTGGACCGAGTTTGCTTCTGGGTTAGGGGCCGTCCATAAATGACGTGCCACGATTTTGGACGATTTTTTGACCCCCCCCCCCCTTCGTCACACGGCGTCACAAAAAGTCAGACCCCCCCTCAAATATGACGTCACAAAGCTCTGCCCCCCCCCCAAAAATAAAACATGCTTCAAATCGCTTTAAACTATTGTCATTGTAGTGCGTATTTAATGTGGCGCTGCACTCTGATGTTGTAGGAGAAAACATTTATAAAAAAAAGTCTATTTAATTAAGTAGAACGTGTTGTCTATATTTATTCAAAGTTGCGCATTTTGGCGTGACGTCACATTTCTCAACCCCCCCATCGTCACACATCGTCACAAATATCTGACCCCCCCCCCCCCCTAGGTGCGTGACGTCATTAATGGACGGCCCTCTTACCAGATCTTATTGACAAAGAGCACTCGATTGCAATGATCGGGCTCCGTTCAACTCAAGACGATTACCAT